CACCTCCCTCACTCTGTCACTAGTCACCCCTTCCCTCACTCTGTCACTAGTCACCCCCCCACTGTCACTAGTCACCCCCCACTGTCACTAGTCACCCCCCCTCACTGTCACTAGTCACCCCCTCACTGTCACTAGTCACCCCCCCTCACTGTCACTAGTCAACCCCCCCACTGTCACCAGTCACCCCCCCCACTGTCACCAGTCACCGCCCCACTGTCACTAGTCACCACCCTCACTGTCCTAGTCACCCCCCCACTGTCACCAGTCACCTCCTCACTGTGTCACTAGTCACCCCCCCTCACTGTCACTAGTCACCCCCCCTCACTGTCACTAGTCACCCCCCCACTGTGTCGCTAGTCACCCCTTCCCTCCCTCACTTTGTCACTAGTCACCCCCTCCCTCGCTCTGTCACTAGTCACCCCCTCCCTCTGTCACTTGTCATCCCCTCCCTCACTCTGTCACTAGTCACCCACTCCCTCTAGTGACAGAGTGGGGGAGAGTGTGACTAGTGACAGAGGGAGGGGGTGACTAGTTAGGGAGGGAGTGACTAGTGACAGAGGGAGGGATGGGGTGACACAGTGACAGAGGGAGGGATGGGGTGACTGGTGACAGAGTGAGGGAGGGGATGACTAGTGACAGAGTTAGGGAGGGAGTGACTAGTGACAGAGGGAGGGATGGGGTGACTAGTGACAGTCACCATCTCCCTCCCTCTGTCAATAGTCACCCCCTCCCTCATTCTGTCACTAGTCACCCCCTCCCTCACTAGTCACCCCCCCTCACTCTGTCACTGGTCACCCATTCCCTCCCTCACTCTGTCACTAATCATCCCCTCACTCTGTCACTAGTCACCCTCTCCCTCACTCTGTCACTACTCACACCCTCCCTCACTCTGTCACTAGAGTGAGGGGATGACTGGTGACAGAGTGAGGGAAGGAAGGGGTGACTGGTGACAGAGTGAGCAGATGACTGGTGACAGAGTGAGAGAGGGGGATGACTAGTGACAGAGTGAGTTAGGGGGGGACTAGTGACAGAGTAAGGGACAAAGGGGGTGACTAGTGACAGAAGGAGGGATTGAGTAGTGACAGAGGGAGGTGGTGACTAGTGACAGAGGGAGGGAGGTGGTGACTAGTGACAGTCACCACCTGCCTCACTCTGTCACTAGTCACCCCCTCACTCTAGTGACAATGAGGGAGGGGGTGACTAGTGACAGAGTGAGGGAGGGAAGTGGTGACTAGTGACAGAGTTAGGGAGGGAAGGGGTGACTAGTGACAAAGTGAGGAAGGGGTGACTAGTGACAGAGTGAGGGAGGGAAGGGGGTGACTAGTGACAGTCACCCCCTCCCTCACTCTGTCACTGTGTCACCCCCTTCCTCACTCTGTCACTAGTCACCCCCTTCCTCACTCTGTCACTAGTCACCCTCTCTCTCACTCTGTCTCTAGTCACCCCGTCCCTCATTCTGTCACTAGAGTGAGGGGGTGACTAGTGACAGAGTGAGGGGGTGACTAGTGACACAGTGAGGGAGGGGGTGACTAGTGACAGAAGGAGGGAGGGAGTAGTGACAGAGGGAGGTGGTGACTAGTGACAGAGTGAGGGAGGGAAGGGTGTGACTAGTGACAGTCACCACCTCCTTCACTCTGTCACTAGTCACCCCCTCCCTCACTCTGTCACTGTGTCACCCCCTTCCTCACTCTGTCACTAGTCACCCTCTCTCTCACTCTGTCACTAGTCACCCCGTCCCTCACTCTGTCACTAGAGTGAGGGGGTGACTAGTGACAGAGTGAGGGGGTGACAGAGTGAGGGAAGGGGATGACTGGTGACAGAGTGAGGGAGGGGATGACTGGTGACAGAGTGAGGGAGGGGGTGACTAGTGACAGAAGAAGGGAGGGAGTAGTGACAGAAGGAGGGAGGGAGTAGTGACAGAGGGAGGTGGTGACTAGTGACAGAGTGAGGGAGGTGGTGACTAGTGACAGTCACCCCTTCCCTCACTCTGCCACTAGTCACCCCTTCCCTCACTCTGTCACTAGTCACCCCCTCACTCTAGTGACAGAGTGAGGGAGTGACAGAGAGAGGGAAGGGGGTGACTAGTGACAGAGTGAGTGACTAGTGACAGAGTGAGGGACTAGTGACAGAGTGAGGGAGGGGGTGACTGTCACTAGTCACCCCATCCCTCTCTCTGTCACTAGTCACTCCCTCCTAACTCTGTCACTAAACACCCCCTCTGTCCTTACCCCCTGACAGTCACTAGAACACCCCCTCTGACTAGTGACAGAGTGAGAGAGGGGGTGACTAGTGACAGAGTGAGGGATGGGGTGACTAGTGACAGTCACCCCCTCTTTCACTCTGTCACTAGTCACCCCCTCTCTCACTCTGTCACCAGTCATCCCTTCCTTCCCTCACTCTGCCACTAGTCATCCCTTCCCTCACTCTGTCACCAGTCACCCCTTCCTTCCTTCACAGTGACAGAGAGAGGGATGGGGTGACTAGTGACAGAGAGAGGGATGGGGTGACTAGTGACAGAGAGAGGGAGCGGGTGACACAGTGACAGAGTGAGGGAGCGGGTGACACAGTGACAGAGTTAGGGAGGGAGTGACTAGTGACAGAGAGAGGGATGGGGTGACTAGTGACAGTCACCCCCCCTCACTCTGTCACTAGTCACCCCTTCCCTCCCTCACTTTGCCACTAGTCATCTCTTCCCTCCCTCACTCTGCCACTAGTCACCCATTCCCTCACTCTGCCACTAGTCACCCATTCCCTCACTCTGTCACTAGTCACCCCTATCTCCCTCCCTCTGTCACTAGTCACCCACTCCCTCACTCTGTCACCAGTCACACCCACTCACTGTTTCCCCCTCACTCTGCCACCACTCAACCCCTCCCTCACTCTGCCACCTGTCACAACCTCCCACACTCTTCCACCTGTCACCTTCTCCCTCACACACTCTGTCACTTGTCATATGCATTCACACTGACCCTATATACAAAAAAGCACATTTAGTCATCCAGACATGCACAAGTGCATTCACACAGACTCAAATACAAACATGCATTGATACACAGGTCTTCACAATACACACATCCAAAGGAATGCCGTATTATGAATTATATTTAACATTTATTTAATGCACATATATTTGGCCTTCAGAGGGCCTGGGATCTAATTTTGCCCGGGGGCCCCAAAGGCTCTCAGTCCGCCCCTGCCTAGAAGTATAGATTGTTTGACTGCTCCTTCTTTTTTTCCTCTATTGGTCAGTGGTTACTTGATCTGTGAATAAAATGAAACATTTAGTGCCTGCCCACTAACCATATATTTACCCAAACCAACAACAAAAACAGCCTCTTCTCCATTCCATCCCCATTTTTTCGATGAATTGCACTGCTAGTCAAGAACAAAACCTATCATGTTCAGGCTTTCACAAGTTGGTTACCATGAGAATCTGGCACGTCTTGGAAATCAGAATTTCAGCTGATAACCCAATTGGCTGAATTTAGTTTTTATTTGTTTTGGTTAGGGCTGGATTAACATAAGGGTTGATGGATATCCTGCTCCAGGCCCATGTCCAAAACAGGCCGACCAGTGGGTCACAGGCCGAGGCCAATAGGTGAAATCAAAGGATCTTCCCTGCTGGCCCAAAGAGGGAGTTGTGACACTCTCCAGTCTGTTGGGAGATGAAAGGTCTCCCTCACTGGCTAGCCCAGGTCTTCCACAAGTGTTGCTGTGGGTTACCATGGCTATGCTCTGAAACTGTTTGTAGCATCGGCCTGAGGAAACAGAAATCATTTTTTGCACCTGCAAGGGGCAAAAAAATTATTGGACCACCAGGGACAAGCATTCTGCCCTCCCTGGCCAAGGTAAGGAAGAGGGAAGGGGAAAGAAATTTAATTTATGCAGTATGCCGGTATATATTTATTTTTTATTGCCCCTATTCTCCCACTACATGGACTACAGCTATCCCCCTATATCTAGTACAGCTAGTATCCCCTCTTGACCCGCTACAGTCCCTTCCCCTGTTTACAACCACCACAGCTTACCCCCCTCCACCCATTACAGCCCCCATTGCCCCCTGCACCCTCCACAGCCCTTACCCTCCTATGTCCACTACAGCCACTATTTCCCCAACACTTACTATAACCCCTATTCCCCCCCTAAACTGTCTACAGCTATCCCACTATGCCCAGTAAAGCTAGTATTCCCCCTACTCTCAGTGCAGCCCCTACCCCGCTTTATCAGCTACAGTCCCTATTCCCCCCACATCCACCACAGCACATATCCTCCTTCACCCACTACAGTCACTACTCCCCTTATACCCAGTACTGACCCTATTTCCCCTGCCCCCACCACAGCCCCTATCATCCTTGCACCCAGAAGTCCATATCCCCTCCCTGTACCCACTACAGTTCTTATCTCCTTCTGCACTGAATACATATGCTCCTCTTCACACACTGCAGCCACTATCGCATCTACAACCACTACAGACCATATACCCTATCCCCCTACACCAGGGGTTCTCAACCCAGTCCTCAGGACCCCCTCCCAGTCCAGGATTTGGGGATTACCTGGGTGTGTCTCAGGTGTTTAGAAAAAGGGGAAAAAACACCTTAGACTCTAAGGTGTTTTTTTTTTTCTTTTTCTAAACACCTTAGACACACCCAGGTAATCCCTAAACCCTGGACTGGTAGGGGGTCCTGAGGACTAACGTTGAGAACCCCTGCCCTACACCAACTACAAACCCTATCCCTACCCTGCATCTACTACAGTTCCTATCCCCTTCCTTACTTAATATTGCCCCTATGAACCCACTACTGCCCTTATTCCCCCTTCTGCACCTTATACATTCCTTATTCCCCATACACATATGAAGCCCTTATCTTTCTCGTGCACACACTACAGTCCCTATCACCACCCACTACACTCCCTGTCACCCCCCCACTACAGTCTGTATCGTTGACACAAACTACAACACCTGTCCGTCCCCCAGACATAACTTGAAGTTTCTATCCCCTCAGACACTAGAGTCCCTATCATCCTCTCACACACACATAGAGCCCCTAACATTTATACACACACTACAGTCCCAGTATCCCTCCACATACATACTACAGCACCTACGATATGCACATTATACACTACAAGCAAACCTCTCCACATATTAACTACACTGTAAATAGTCCCATTCAGAGACACAACCCCACAAGCAGGTAGCTGTAGCATCATCACACATGCAATAGCTGTATGTGAAATAGCAACCCCACACATACAGCTTCCCTGCACACACTCACAAGAAGCAACTCCACACATGCATGATGACATATGTAACTTGTGAGGTTGTGCATTGGGGGAAGACAACATCAACAGCTGCTTCCCCCACATGCACAACCTCACAAGTCACTTCCAAAACACAAATAACAGCACAGGCATTGTGTGTTTGGATCACTGAGTGTGAAGGTACTGACCATGAGTGAGTTTGTGTCTGTTTGTTCCATTTGTGTGTATGGGTCAATGAAACAAATATTTTTATGCATTTACATAAAAAAGCCCACCAAATACTTAGCAACAGTCCCACAAAACTCTTAATCTCGCTCTGGTTTTGGGATGTCCTAGAACGTGTTAGAATGTGTTAATTGTACTATGTTCATTGCTTGTTTGTATTCAAAAACTATATTGTTATGTTTTAATAAAAATGTATCAATAAAAACTATTTGAAAAGAGTTCAAGCAAGCAAGTTACTTACCCTTGCATCAGCTATATTGCCCCTGGCTCACCCTTTCCAGGCTCACTCATATGTGGCGTTTTCAAATATGTAACCTACAGATAAATTACGCTAATTCATGAGCAAGTTATGTGGTGGAATCTCGGTAAAAATAAATTTAGTAGGCCGAGATTACCACGTGGCATGTGTACGTGCATATGCTGACGTATCGATCAGTTGGTTGCACGAGGCAAGATACGATCAGTAGTGTACGGAGCATGTGCAAGAATACAGGATGTAGTATTCCCCTCCTCCATTGTGCTGGACAAGCCATGCGGTCAAGCAGGAAGTTAATTCTTATTTGTAATGATTGGTCAAGAGAATGTGCGGGTGGAGCTTAATATGGGAGGAGTTATGTGCCTATATAGGGAGCCTGCACTATTGTTCAGGGCTCAGAACTTGCTGTATTTTTGGTGACATTAGTCCCTCTGAGTCCCGATCGGTGATCCAATAAAGAATCTCTTCCTTCCTGAAGAAACCTGTGTCCATCCCTCTGTGCTTTGCTTCCGTCAGTTTCTCCGGTATCATTTGGTGCATTGGCCGGGAAGCTCATCGTTCAACGGTAGCTGAGAGGCAGAGGCGTGAGACGGTCTATCTTTGCCCACGTTCTCTACGGCTGCACCCCTGAACTTCTGCGTGGACCTCCCTTCGTCTCGGCGCCACTGGTCTGTTGTCCAGGAGATCATCGGCCTCTACGTAAGAAGTGCTGGGGTGTCCCCGTCGATGAGTGTGAACTCAGGTTCAGGAACGAGGAGGTAAGACAACTGCTGTTTTAGACGGCAGACCCACTAGGGGTATACCGATTGTGCGGTAGGCCCAAAAGGGGTTTAAATCTGTGTATGGAATCTGCCCCCTCTGTCGGAGGGAAGGAGCGAAGGCGCACCGCTCGATCGAACGCTCTTTAGTAAGACCGTTTGATCTGGTTAGTCAGGCGGGGTCCTGTGTAAATAGCCCTAGCCGGACACCGGTGTCTTGTCTAGACTAGCGTTCTAGGGTGTATATTACGTTCGCTAGGTCGGAGGGACCGGGAGACTAAGCGGCGCCTGTGTAAATTCGGTTCGCTAGCTCTCAACCTATCTTGGCTAAGTGGGAAGGCGTGTAAATTTGGAACCCACTAGACTTTTGATAGAGTAAATAGACTAGAAGGGCAATTTTGTAAATTTCGCCCTCTAGTTCGCTATATGTGGTGTTTGGGCAGTGTGGCTAACCAAAACGGGTGTATATAGTTTTAGGTAGTCCATTCAAGGTACTGGCCAATAGTTTAGTTGGGATTGTAAATGTGTTAAAGATTGTTAGTAAAGTGTATATCTTGTTAGATAGCGCGAGCTCAGCCGTCTAGCGAGAGTGTTAATAGTGTGTTGCTGTATCATAGTGCACGGTACCATAACCCTGTATATTTACTGACACTGTATATAAGTACTAATCATTGTCGTCTATTGCATGTTTAACACCGTAACCACTAATAATTGTATTGTGACCTTAAATTGTGCTTTGACCTATGCTAACCGTACTGTAACCGATACTAGTAAAAGACGATGTTACTGGGGTGTGTTATAGACGGGTAATTCATATATAGAGAATTATAGCGTGGGTGACTGTATAGTTTCGCCAAAGGGCATAATATTGATTATTT